GCATCCCTGCCGCAGCCGGGCAATGGCAGGCGGTGGCAGAGGGCCCCGGCAGCGGTGCAGGCACTGGGTGAGGCTGGGAGCGGGGTCAGCCCTTGGGCAGCCTCTCCTTGAGCTGCGCTGAGCAAGGACAAGAGGGGGGAAAAAGCTTTTATTCCTCTCCAAGCGTCTCCGTGACCTGGGCTGCTGCTGTTCAGGCACTGGGTGCCACCAGCAGCGCTGGCAGGGAGCAAAGGCAGCTCTGCCCTGCAGCAGCACTTAGGTGCCTTCAGCTCTGCCAGGCTCCCAGGGCCCTCCCGAGGGGCTCCTGCTGTGCTGGGGATGCTGTGCCAGCATCCAGGGCATCGATCCCACACTGGGAGCGGGGAAGCGGGTGGGCATCCCCCCCTCCCCTCAGCCCTGCCTCGTGCCCGTCGCCATGTCCGTGCCATTTTGATCCCTGCTGTTTGTTTTGTCCTCTTGTCTTGTGTGTTCTCGGTGTGGTGGTTGGCAGTCGCGGGGTTTATGGACGGAGTGGCTTTGCCTCCTTCTTTAAGTCTTCAGCGCCCTCAGCCACTCGGCCTGAGACACAGCCTCTTCTCCCTGCCTCCAGGCGCCCCTCGCCCCCCGGGAGGGACACCTACGGCACCTCCTCGCTGAGCAGCAGCAGCAATTCTGGCTCCTGCAAGGGCAGCGACAGCAGCCCCACCCCAAGGTAACCCCATCACCCGCGGCCCCCGGGCCGGGGCAGCAGCGCCCGTGCTACCGGTGCCGCTGGGACAGGAGCGCAGGGGCCGGTGGAGCGAGGCTGTGCCAGGGCGGCTGCGGGAGCCGGAGCCGCTGCTGTGTCCCCGTGACCCCCTCATCCTCCTCCAAACCCCTCTGCTGTCATTGTGGTGTCTGCTCCCTCCCTGTCCCCCCGCCTGGCAGCTCAGCACCCGTCCCTTGCTCCTGCCCTGGCTGTGGCTTGCGTGCTGCACGTGTCCCTCCTGCGCTCTGGGGAGCACCCTGGGGCCTTTAGGATCGAAGCCGTGATGGGCAAGAGCTTCGTTTCCATCCCGTCGTGCTCCCGGTGTGCTCCGGGCATGAAGAGCCTGGCTCTGAGCTGTGGGATGGGCGCTGGCTTGTCCCTGGGCTCTGCTGCTCCTGCCTGTCCCCAAGAACCGCCCAGCTCTGAGACAGCATCAAATGTGGGGGGACGTGAGGGGCCTGAGGGTGACCTGGTGACCGGAGCCCACGTGCGCTGCAGCAGGGAGCAGCGGCCATCCTGCTGCCATGGGGTGCTGCAGGGCCAGGGTCCTGCCTGGCTGCTCCTAACGTGATGCTTATGTCTGTGGATGAAGGCTGCCACCATGCACAGGGCTTGGGCTGTCCTGCTCTGTGCACAGCGTCCCCACCACCCCGCTGCCATGCGCAGGGGCTTTGGGCTACCCTGCAGCAGTGCAGGAGCATCCTGTGCTCAGCCCTCTGCATCTCCCCAGCCCAGTTGTGCAGCCCTCTCCTGGGCTTCAGGCCACAGGCATCACCTCATCCACCCTGGCAGTGGCAAGAGGAGGGTCCAGATGTGCTGCTGGCCCAACCTGGGGCAGATGCAGGATGCCCTGACTTGCTGTCCATGGGCAGGACAGCAGCCAGCTCCAGACCTGCTCCATCCCAGCCCCACGACCCACCTTCCAGCTCCACCCCTGCCAGGGCAGATCCCACCCTGGGCTCTCCATCAGCATCCACCATTCCTGGAAAGCTCATTTTGGGCACAGAGACCTCGGTGCTCGCCTGCTCCTGGCTCTCCTCATGCACCCGCATGAAGCCTGCAGCTCTGCAGCCATGGGCAGCACCAGCGTGGTGGGAGACACCCACCCTGCCCCTCCTGCCCGCAGGGCTCCGCTGGGATGCTCCCAGCACCCCAAGAGCAGGCATCTCCCTTGGGACCCCCGCGTGAGCCCACGCCGGCACCGGCAGTGGGTGACTCGTGTGTCCCCGCAGGCGCTCGGCCAAGTACAACCTCTGCAGTGACAACCATGGGATAAAGCCGCCGACGCCGGAGCAGTACCTGACCCCGCTGCAGCAGAAGGAGGTGTGCATCCGGCACCTGAAAGCGCGCCTGAAGGACACGCAGGAGCGGCTGCAGGACAGGTGAGGATGGGAGCAGTGGACACGGGTGCCCTGGCACGGGTCCTGGCATTGCCGCCTCCACCAGCAGCTCCTGCATGGCACCGGGACGTTGATGCTTCTGGGCATTCCCAGTTCCCAGCACTGCAGCTTGGCCTTGGGCTCACCGTGGCGCTGCAGGCACGTGGGCATCCCCATCCAACTGGGATTTGGGGGCCGCAGAGCGCTTAGCTCCCACCTGCAGTGGTTGCTCTGCCCCGTGCCCCTGGTTAAGTCTCTGCTGTATCTGAATGTCAGCATCAGAGGGTGGTTAATCCCCATCTGCTCCTCTCGGGCTTAGGCACGTCCTCGCTGGCGTGCCAGCTGCCATGCACCCACCCGGGGCACCTACCAGAGCATTGCTCCCAAGGGTGCCCGAGCCACTGGATCCATCCCTGGGTCCCAGTGCTGAGTGTTACTGGGTTGACATGGTTCCAATTCAGTGCCGAGCTTGTGAGGCCAGGGCTGTCCCCGCAGCCCACTCAGCACCACGGCCGTGCCCTCCCCATCTCCCACAGGGATGCCGAGATCGAGGACCTGAAGACGCAGCTCTCGCGGATGCAGGAGGACTGGATCGAGGAGGAATGCCACCGCGTGGAGGCCCAGCTGGCGCTGAAGGAGGCCCGCAAGGAGATCAAGCAGCTGAAGCAGGTCATCGACACGGTGAAGAACAACCTGCTGGAGAAGGACAAAGGGCTCCAGAAGTACTTCGTGGACATCAACATCCAGAACAAGAAGCTGGAGACGCTGCTGCACAGCATGGAGGTGGCGCAGAACGGGGCGCTGAAGGAGGAGGGGGCCGGCGAGTCGGCCGGGGGGTCCCCAGCGCGGTCCCTCACCCGCAGCTCCACGTACACCAAGCTGAGCGACCAGGGGGCCGGGGACCGCAACGTGGGGGGCTCACAAACCATCTCGGTGGACGAGGGGGCCGACAGCGGCTTCATGGGCATGGAGGATGCTCCGGGACACACGGACCCGCTGGAGATGGGGGCTGAGCCCGGCCCCCGCCTGCCCCCCAGCTCCACCTACGAGAAGCTGCTGCGGGGCAGCGCGGAGGCCGGGGTGCAGGCGAGCTGCATGCAGGAACGGGCCATCCAGACGGACTTCGTGCCCTGCCAGCCCGACCTGGACACCATCCTCGAGAAGGTGATGAAGTCCCAAGCCTGCAGCTTGGGCAGCCCCACCTCGGCCTGGGTGTCCGAGATGGAAGACACGATGCCCGTCCCCGAGCTCTCCAACCCCACCACGGACCTGCTGGTGGCCGAGCCCGACGCCGCGGTGATGGGTGCCGGCGGCGAGGGGGGGCCCGTCCCCTGCCCCAACCCGGCCGTGCGCCAGCCCCCCAGCGCCTCGGTGGCCATCGCCTGCGCGGCGGAGGAGGAGCCCTCGGAGGTGCCCGCCTGCGAGGGGCCCCCGTCCAAGAGCTACTGGAGCCGCCACTTCATCGTGGATCTGCTGGCCGTGGTGGTGCCGGCCGTGCCCACGGTGGCCTGGCTGTGCCGCTCGCAGCGCCGGCAGGGCCAGCCCATCTACAACATCAGCTCCCTGCTGCGCGGCTGCTGCACCGTCGCCCTCCACTCCATCCGCAGGATGGGCTGTCGCCCCGTCGCCAGCCCCGGCGGCAGCGCCCAGCCCTGATCCAACCCCCCCCAGAACCCCCCGACCGCCCCCAAGGACCCGACCGCTGATTGTAAAGCCCCAGCGTGTCCCTGCTCCCTGCAGGGATGCGGCCCTGGGGGTGGGAAGGGGATGGGGGGGAGTCTGTGGGTGCATTGGGGTGCGCTGTCACCCCCCCACCACCACCACCACCACCCCGCATCCTTTGTGCTGGATGGGGGAAGGATGGTGCTGGGACAGAGGTGCCAAGTGGCTCTGCGGGATGTGGCACCCACATCACCCTGCCCTACGGACCCTCTGCTGCTGGCTGGGGGAGGCTGCACCCATGGGTGGGCTCTCCCATCGCTGCACGTGCTTTTCGGTTGTCCTTGCCCTGCCCCAGGCTGGGCGATGGCAGCGAACCCGAGGGGTGTCTGGGGGTGCTGTGGGACCCTCCGGGTGCATTTCCTGCTCCAGATGCAGGTCGCACCACGACAGCGAAGTCTGGCTGTGGGCAGGAGGCTGGGGGGGACCTGCCCGGACACAGAGACCAGCGCTGGAGGTGGTGGAGCCCATGGGGCACCTTCACCCGGGCCTGGTGTCCATCCTCCTCCCCTGGCCGGGACGGGGCCCCCCTATTGCATCCCTGACCCAGGGGGAGCCCGGCTCCCTCCCTCCCCCTGCTTTGCACTACATTCACTTTGGTTTGGGTACAGACTGGAGCCCAGGGGCTGGGCTCTGCCCTCCGTGGAGCTGGACCAGAGGCCTCCGGTGGTTTTGGCACTGGTGATCCCCGTGCTGGAGCTGGGGCTGCAGTGAGGGATGCGGGCAGGGGCCGAGCGCCTTTGCCTGCTCCAGCCCCATCCCCGCTTTGCTGGTGGGCTCTGGAGCAACAAAATGCCTTGTCTTTCCCTTTGGAGCAGCGGCGATTGCTCAGCGGGGGCCGGCGGGACGCGAGACTTGGGCTCCCCCCCATGAATGTCAGTGGGTTCTTCGTGACTTGAACTAACAGTGTTCCCCCCCCCGCCCCAAACCCCACTCCACCGCCCATGGAGCAGCGATGCCCCGACAGCGGCGCTCCCAGGGGACACAGGCCCCGTCCCGTGCTCCCTGTGCTCCCCATGGCCCCGCTGCGGCTCTGCCGCGGTGGGGATGCAGCTCCCGGTGCCGGGTGATGGATGGGGGAGCCGGGGGCGGGCGCTGGGGCATCGGCCTCTCGTGCAATGTGTTTGTGGCTGTGTGTTCGCGTCTGTCCGACTGCCCAAAGCTTTGCCAAGAAATAAATGTAATGATTATATTTGAAAGACAAATCTATATTATATATTTTTTAAATACAGAACTGACAAAGCTGTAACATTCCCCCCTCCCCATTCTTGTTGCTCCCCCCCCCCATCCTGTACTCGCTGTCTGTTGGTGGATGTAATAAATGTCGCTGGGTCTGTGTCTGCTTTGGCTGGAGCCAGCCTTTGGCGTCTGCCCCAGGACATGGGGATGTGCATTCCCCACCCCTGCTGATGTGAGGGAGGAGAGGACGGCACAGGCTGGAGGTGCCACTGGCGGCTGCAGGGATGAGGGACTCCTTTGGGGATGCTGTGGGGTACCTTCAGGAGCCCATGAGGCTTCCAGCAGCGAAGTCCTCACAGGTCAGGGATGGAGTGGTCCATGCTCGACTTCACCACCCCTGGTGAGAGCCTGGGCACAGGGAATGGGTACTTAGTAGGGAGAGGCACCCTTGGGCACCCCAGTGGGGTTGGGGCGGGCACCATAGCCCCATGGCCTCACCGTTTCACCATGTGCTCGTAGATCACAGTGGGGATGATGGTCAGCGTGACCACGTTCCCGGCCCCCGCCAGCACCTCCATGAGCTGCTTATCCTGCAGGAGAGAGCGGTGGCTCCATGGGGTGCCCCCATCCCATGGGATGCTCCTGACGGCACCGTGGCTATGCAGCCCCTACCTTCATGCCGATGACATTCTGGCCGTTCACCTCGCAGATGTAGTGATGGGTCAGGAGCCCGTTGCGAGCAGCGGAGCTGTTCTTGGCCAGGGACACGATTTTCCCCTTCTTCACCACGATGCCGACGTGGCCGGTGCTGTCCTTGTGCACGGTGACCGTGCGCTGGAACGGCCTGCGGGGAGAACGGGGATCAGCGCCGGGATCATCACCGGGATCAGCGCCTCCGGCACCAGCACTCACCGGTCCCGCACCACCATCACGATCTTCTCGGGGTTGGCCTTCTTCAGCGCCCGCTGCGCCTTGGCACTGCTCCAGCCCGTGCAGCTCCTGCCGTCCATCTGCAGGATCTGGTCCCCAAAGCGCAGCCCCACCAGCGCCGCTGGCGAGTTGGCCTTCACCAGCTGCACGAAGATGCCCTGGGGACAGGGGGGGAGTGATGGCACCACGCTGGCAGGTACCGTGCCATGGCCCACGCCGGGCTGGGCTGCACCGGGCTGGCACAGTGTGCCCAGAGAAGCTGTGGCTGCCCCATCCCTCACAGTGTTCAAGGGCAGGTTGGACACAGGGGCTTGCTGTGGAAGGGGTCCCTGCCCGCGGCAGGGGTTGGAGCTGGAGGAGCTTCAAGCTCCCTTCAACCCAACCCGTTCTGTGATGCTGTGGTTCTGTGCTGTGCCATTTACCAGCACACATTGCCACGCCACGGTGCACCGGGCCCTGCCACATCCACCGTGCCGGGATGCCCCATCCCGCGCCCAGCCCTCACCTGGTCGACGTTCTTGAGCTGCAGCCCTGTCTTGCCCCGCTCGTCCTTGCAGAGGTGAATCTCCCGCACGCCCGGTTTGATCTCCGCTCGCCGCAGCCCCGCGCTGCTCCCGCTCAGGGGGGCCACCACCTGCCCCGGGGGGGGCCCGCTGGGGGTCAGGGCCTGCGATGGAGCCGGGGGTCAAGGGTGGGAGCAGCCCTCGGGGGATGCCGCATCCCAGCCGGGGCCGGATGAGCTGCAGGGGGGGGGAGCGCTCAGCAGCGATGCTGCGGCACGGGGGCACCTACGGAGCCGCTGCCTTCCGGGAGCAGGTTCTTCTGGATCTCCTCGCTGCACAGGGCCAGCCCCATGTAGTTCTCCAGCTCGGCCAGGTCCGGGTACAGCACGGGCGGCGCTGCGGGGGCACGGGGGGGGCCTCAGGGAGGGTGGTTCCCACCCCACGGCCATTGCCTCCCTGCCTGGAACCCCCCCCAGCCTCCATCCCCTGCCCATGCAGTGGGATGTGAGGGGTCTCAGCTGAGCCCCCCCCCATTGTGTGTCCGTCCCCCCACCCCGGGCAGGGAGAGCCGGTCCCAACCCGCGTTACCGGTGTCTGAGCTGAGCTTTGGCTTCTCCGTGACCACGGTCGTGGGGGGGGTCCTCACCCCGGCTGCTGCCTGCGCCTGCACAGAGATGGGGCTTGCTTGAGGCGCTGCCCTCCCACCCCACCCGGGGACCCTCCGAGAGGAGGGGGGCACCCATCGGGGCCAGCTCACACCCCCCCCCCCAACGCTGCTGCGCCAGCACTGACCTGCAGGAGCTGGTGGCCCTTCATGTCCTCGAGGGAGGGGTAAAGCGTGGCCATGGCTGCCGGGGCCGTGCCTGGGGATGGGGACGCAGGGATCAGGGGTGGGGACGCAGGGATCAGGGATGGGGACGCAGGGATCAGTGATGGGGACGCAGGGATCAGGGGTGGGAGCCTCTGCCCCGCCCGGCTCCGTGTGCCCGGTCCCCTGCGCCGGACACGGGCTCCCAGCCGCAGCCTCCGCAGTGACTCAGAGCCGGTTCACCGGGGCCACCGGATCCACCACTTCCTGGTGGCTGGGACACGGGCACCGGCACCATGGGCTCTGCTTGGCTGCCAGCGGGTCCTGCTCCCCACATCCCCCCGTCCAATGGGGCCATTCCAGCATCACCCAGACCCAGCAGTGGGGTACCCCATGGAAACAGCCCCCTGACCCCCCCATCAGTCCCCTCTGCCCCCCCAACCCGTGCTCCTCACACTGTGCCCACGGCAAGGCTGTGCCTCAAAGCACAGCACCCAAACCCAGGGGGGGGGGCTGAATCCTGACCCAGCTCTGAGCGCTGCAGAGCCCAGCTGGCTCTGGGGCACACACAGCACAGGGCCCACAGCAGCAGCCCCCCAAACCCCAGCCTGGCAGCCCCGGACTCACCTGCAGCAGCTCCCGGCTCCCTCTGCCACCCTGTGCCCGGCCCCGGGCACTTATAGCTGTGCCCAGCCCAGGGAGGGGCCCGGGCACTCAGCTGACTGGCACCCCAGGTAGGGCACAGGGGAGGAAGAGGAAGGTGAAGGCAACGCTGTGCAGGGATGGGGATGGGGAGAGGGATGGGGACAGGGATGGGGATGGTTTTCAGTGGGTTTGGGCATCCTGGGGGAGCAGGGATGGGGCTGTGGAACCCCATTCCCATTGCATCACCCATCCTGTCCACAGCAACGCATGGCCCCATTCAGAGCTCAGTGCCTCAGACCAAGGAACAAGGGTGATGTTGGGGTGTGAAGTGGGGTCCCAAGGGTGATGATACCAGGGGGAGAAAGGGGGGTCCCCACCATGAGCATCCCTGAGCAGGGGCTGGCTCCTTGCTCCTGGGCACATGGTGCTGACGCAGCTGTGATGTGGCACCGTGTCCCGCACCCTTCCATCCATCACGTGCTGGGTGTGACGGCCCCGTGGCAGTCCTGATGGAGCAACCGAGTGAGTGTGGAGCTCATGGGATGCACACGGGCATCCCGCTGCCATGGGACATCACCCATGGGATCCAGCCCTCGGCATCCCGCTGCCATGGGACATCACTGCATCACCTTGGGGTCCAGTCCTCGGCATCCCGCTGCATTGGACATCACTGCATCACCTTGGGGTCCAGCCCTCAGCATCCCGCTGCCATGGGACATCACTGCATCACCTTGGGGTCCAGCCCTCAGCATCCCGCTGCCATGGGACATCACTGCATCACCTTGGGGTCCAGCCCTCGGCATCCCGCTGCCATGGGACATCACTGCATCACCTTGGGGTCCAGCCCTCGGCATCCCACTGCCATGGGACATCACTGCATCACCTTCAGGTCCAGCCCTTGGCATCCCGCTGCCAGCACCAGGGATGCCACCGACCACGCTGTCCTCAGGAGCTGGGTCCCACAGGCATCCAGCCAGGCTCAGCACCAGTGGCACCAGCCCAGGATGTGCCAGCAAGGCGCCAGTCCCCCCATGGAGCAGCAGCCGGGCGCATCCCAGCTCCGCTGCTGCATGCCGGCCCTGGAGGAAGTGCTCCATTTACTGCTGTTATATTTAGCCCAGGACAGGAGCAGCCCCAGCGCCACAGCCCAGAGCAGGGAGAGCTCCTGCAGCAGCCGGAGCAGGGGGGTTCCTGTCCCCCCAACCCCTCATCCCCATTGAAACGGAGCTGGAAGGACCCCAAGGGCACTGGGGGCTGATTCCCAGCCGGAGCCATGGCACTGCCTGGCACCAGTTCATAAAGCTTTGCCAGAAGAGAAACCCAGCCTGGCTGCGAGCTGGTTGCAGTGAAGGGCACGGTGCTGGTGCCCCCCAGCTCCTGTGCTGCTGACCCGAGCAGCAAGGAAGGGCAGTGTCCCCAGCTGCATGGCCCCCATCCCTCGTGTCGCTGCTTGAGCACCGCTGCTCCCGGCTCCAATCCGGCTTTTCCACCCTTAAACACAAACTTTGCTCCCGACAAAGCCGCTCCGGAGGTGCTGTTATTGATCGTGGCCAATGGAGCAAAGGCCGTGTGGGGAGGAGCCGGGAGCTGGCACCCAGCAGCACCCCATTGGGAGACACAGAACCGCCACCAGCAGGCGGGGAGCAGCGCAGAGCACAGGAGTGGGGAAAGGCACCAAAATAACCCCCGAGAGGCTTCCCTGGCCTGCAGGTCCCGGCTGCCGGGGGTTCCGTGTCCCCCATTGCCGTGTCCAGCCCCCCGAAAGGACCAAAGTGAATGCCCAGGGCTGGATCCATGTGCCGCTCCGGAGCTGGACGGACCCTGGAGCATCGTCATCCACACTCCATGCACTCCATGCTCCGGCACGGGCTGAGTCACAGCCGCGAGGGCGACAGGCTGCGTGGATAGGTTGTGGTGAAGCAATTGATGGCTCAGATTCCAAGAGGCCTCCATCACCTCCCCATTGAGCCCAGTGAGCCCCGGGCACCGCTTGGTGCTCCCAGGGCCGAGCACTGGAGCCTCACACCAAAGCCATCCAGCACAGACAGAGGCAGAGCCCTTCCTGCTGCCATGGCACTGGGTGAGCCCAGCACGGCATCCCCACCACCGGGAGCCCACCATGGAGCCCTGGTACATGCACTACACCCTGTAAGCCTGGCATGGAACTCTGGGATGGCACCCACAGCATCCGTGAGCCCAGCACAGCACCCACGAACCCAGCACAGCACCCACAGCATCCTGTGAGCCCAGCATGGCACCCATGATCCTGCCATGAACCCTAGTACAGCATCCACAGCACCCATGAGCACAGCATCCACAGCATCCGTGAGCCCAGCACAGCACCCACGAACCCAGCACAGCACCCACGAACCCAGCACAGCACCCACGAACCCAGCACAGCACCCACAGCATCCTGTGAGCCCAGCATGGCACCCACGAATCTGCCATGAACCCTAGCACAGCACCCACAGCACCCATGAGCACAGCATCCAGTGATCCCAGCATGGCACCCGTGAACCTGCCATGAACCCTAGCACAGCACCCACAGCACCCACGAGCCCAGCACAGCACCCACAGCACCCCACAAACCTGCCATGAACCCTAGCACAGCACCCAGAGCATCTCCTCCTCGTGGCACAGAACAGCACCCACAGCACCCATGAGCCCAGCACAGCATCCCCAGCACCCCACGAACCTGCCATGAACCCTGAGCATCTCCTCCCTGGCACAGAACAGCACCCACAGCACCCACAAGCCCAGCACAGCACCCACAGCACCCCACGAACCTGCCATGAACCCTAGCACAGCACCCACAGCACCCACGAGCCCAGCACAGCACCCCCAGCACCCCACGAACCTGCCATGAACCCTAGCACAGCACCCAGAGCATCTCCTCCTCGTGGCACAGAACAGCACCCACAGCACCCACAAGCCCAGCACAGCACCCACAGCACCCCACGAACCTGCCATGAACCCTAGCACAGCACCCACAGCACCCACGAGCCCAGCACAGCACCCCCAGCACCCCACGAACCTGCCATGAACCCTAGCGCAGCGCCCAGAGCATCTCCTCCGCGTGGCACAGAACAGCACCCACAGCACCCACGAGCCCAGCACAGCACCCACAGCACCCATGAGCCCAGCACAGCACCCACAGCACCCCACGAACCTGCCATGAACCCTAGCACAGCACCCAGAGCATCTCCTCCGCGTGGCACAGAACGGCAGGCGCAGCACCCACAAGCCCAGCACAGCACCCACAGCACCCCACGAACCTGCCATGAACCCTAGCACAGCACCCACAGCACCCACGAGCCCAGCACAGCACCCACGAGCCCAGCACAGCACCCACAAGCCCAGCACAGCACCCCCAGCACCCCACGAACCTGCCATGAACCCTAGCACAGCGCCCAGAGCATCTCCTCCGCGTGGCACAGAACAGCAGGCGCAGCACCCACGAGCCCAGCACAGCACCCACAGCACCCCACGAACCCTAGCACAGCACCCACAGCACCCACGAGCCCAGCACAGCACCCACGAGCCCAGCACAGCACCCACGAGCCCAGCACAGCACCCCCAGCACCCCACGAACCTGCCATGAACCCTAGCACAGCACCCAGAGCATCTCCTCCGCGTGGCACAGAACGGCAGGCGCAGCACGCCGCGGTCCCACTGCGCTGAGCGGCGGGCAGAGGCGAGGGAAGGACCCGCAGGACACGGCGCTCAGAAAAGCCAGCAGAAAGCGGTTTTATTGCAAGAATCCAAGTGGGCACCGCTGCGGGCGGAGCGGGCAGCGGGCAGCGCTCCCAGCGCATCACCGGGCAGGGGCAGGAGCGGAGCAGCGGGAAGCTTCGCATCGGATGGGAGCAGGCAAGCGGCGATGAGCAGCATCAGGCGGAGAACGGCCCCAGCGTGCTCAGAGCGGGCACCACCGGGGCTGGGGGGACGGGGAACACACACACAGAGGGTTCGGGGCGTCCCCACCACCTCCCCTGCAGGCAGCAGCACCTTCCCTTTGCTCTTCTCCTTTAAGCTCAATGCAAGCTCTGAAGGTTCAGCCTGCGGAGGAGCAATGATGGAAACCCAACCTGAAAGCGGGCTGAGGCGCAGGAGGAAGGTTCCCCATGGGGGGGCCGAGGGGAGCAGAGCATCCCCACGGTGTCCTCTCCTGTCCCTCGCTGCCCTGGGTCCTGGCAGGGACCTAACACACAATCCCAGCACCGCTTTGCTCCCCGCATCCGTTCGGCCTCGACAGCCTCCCTTTGCTATATGGCTTTCGCAGCAGCAGCAACTTCTGGTTTGAAACCACCATGAGATCTGCAGCACAACGAGGATCTACCAGGTTTCCTGGGGTTCAAATGACTCCTAGCTAAGGGCAGCCCATCTGCGTGCTACTGGGAAAACGTGGGCTACACCTGGAACAGAAAGGTGAAGAACTTGACCCAACAAAAAAAGGAGTTGAGGTTTACGGCGTAGAGTTTAAAAAGACATAAAACCACGATACAAGGAGGAAGAGTCGGACGCAAAGCTCGGTGACCAAAGGCATTCAATCAAGGTGTAAGGTTATACAATGTGTAGTGGGCTATCAGGAAAAGCTCCGTACAAAGTCATGTGCACTCGTCTTGAAGCTGAGGTTCTGGGTTCCTCCATGTGCCAAACCTGCTGGGAGAGAGGAGGGGAGCTCAGGAGCAGGCTCTGGGGATGGAGCCGCCATCCTGAAGTGCACCGGGATCGGAGGAGAAGGCAAGGAACAGCGCCCCATCCTGCCCACACTGCAGGACCACAGACCCCGGAGCACAGCCCCATCCTGCCCACACCACAGATCCCAGAGCACAGCCCCATCCTGCCCACACTGCAGGACCCACAGGCCTTGGAGCACAGCCCCGGAGCACAGCCCCATCCTGCCCACACTGCAGGACCCACAGGCCTTGGAGCACAGCCCCATCCTGCCCACACTGCAGGACCCACAGATCCCAGATCCCAGCCCCATCCTGCCCACACTGCAGGACCCACAGACCCCGGAGCACAGCCCCATCCTGCCCACACCACAGATCCCAGAGCACAGCCCCATCCTGCCCACACTGCAGGACCCACAGACCCCGGAGCACAGCCCCATCCTGCCCACACTGCAGACCCTGGAGCACAGCCCCATCCTGCCCACACTGCAGGACCCACAGGCCTCGGAGCACAGCCCCATCCTGCTCACACCACAGATCCCAGAGCACAGCCCCATCCTGCCCACACCACAGATCCCAGAGCACAGCCCCATCCTGCCCACACTGAAGGACCCACAGACCCTGGAGCACAGCCCCATCCTGCCCACACTGCAGGACCCACAGGCCTCGGAGCACAGCCCCATCCTGCCCACATCACAGATCCCAGAGCACAGCCCCATCCTGCCCACACTGCAGGACCCACAGGCCTCGGAGCACAGCCCCATCCTGCCCACACCACAGGACCACAGATCCCAGAGCACAGCCCCATCCTGCCCACACTGCAGGACCCACAGATCCCAGAGCACAGCCCCATCCTGACCACACTGCAGGACCCACAGGCCTCGGAGCACAGCTCCATCCTGCCCACACCACAGGACCACAGATCCCAGAGCACAGCCCCATCCTGCCCACACTGCAGGACCCACAGACCCGATCCTGCCTGCACCACAGGACCCACACATCAAGAGAAGCACAAGTGAGTCAAGCCCAGAAGGGCAGCAACACAACCCAAGGAACCCAAGGCCTGGTCAACCAGCACTGCAACACCTCCATGGCATTAACCTGCTCTGCCAGGCTGGAACTGCTCCCCCAAGCCCAGCAACCTCCTGAGGGCAACTTCTACCTGCCCCTCTGCTTCTCCCCCCACTGCCCCCCGCTCCAGCCCACCACCCCAGCCCAGCCCAAGACAAAAAGATGGGTGCCCTGAGTCACCCCCGGGCCACAGCAGCCCTGCAGAGCACCCCCTCCTTACCCGAGGACAGGGTGCTGGGGTCATTCCAATTTCATGAGCTCCACGTCAAAAATCAGGGTGGCGTTGGGTGGGATGATGCCGGGGTGCCCGGTGGAGCCGTAGGCGTAATCTGGGGAGATGGTCATCTTCGCCCGCTGACCGACGCTCATCTGGGGCAGGGCAAGAAACGGGGATGTCAGGAGATGGGCACAACCACCGGGGGGAGTGAGGGGTTGGATGGGGCTTGGAGCAAGCTGCTCCAGTGGAAGGGGTCCCTGTCCATGGCAGGGGTTGGAGCTGGAGGAGCTTTGAGGTCCCTTCCAACCCAACCCATCCATGGTTCCGTGTCTTTCACCCAGCGACGGCACAGCCAGGACCCCCCCGCAGCCCCCAGCACCCCTGAGCGCGTCGCTGGCAGCACAGAGCTGGCTGCAGGCGCCCAGGAGCCCAATCCATGCCCAGAGCCCTCCGTCCGCGTGGGCTCCGGCTCCCGCCGCGCGGGGAAATGGCAGCGCTGAGTCACGGCCGTGCCGTAGGTGCTGCCGGGCCCGGCCCTGCTCGGCTCCTACCGTGGGCCAGGTGATGCAGGAGGGGGCATTCACAGCCCCGGTGCCGACGGGCGGCGGGCACAGGGGGGTAAGACAGGCTGAGGAAGTTGGGGCTGTTCAGCGTGGAGAAGAGAAGCTGCGTGGAGACCTCAGAGCAGCTTCCAGTATCTGAAGGGGGCTATAGGGATGCTGGGGAGGGACTCTTCATTAGGGACTGCAGTGACAGGACAAGGGGTAACGGGTTCAAACTGAAACAGGGGAAGTTTAGATTGGATCTAAGGAGGAAATTCTTTCCTGTGAGGGTGGTGAGGCACTGGAATGGGTTGCCCAGGGAGGTTGTGAATGCTCCATCCCTGGCAGTGTTCAAGGCCAGGTTGGACAGAGCCTTGGGTGCCATGGTTTAGTGTGAGGTGTCCCTGCCCATGGCAGGGGGTTGGAACTGGATGATCTCAAGGTCCTTTCCAACCCGAACTGTTCTGTGATTCTATAAAGGGAAGGACTGGATGGGAGAGGAGAGGAGCCGCGCGCCGCGGGCACAGCTCACAGACAAGGACGCAGCGGGCACCTGAGCGACGCCTTCCTCCCAGCCGCGGATCACCTCCTGCTTGCCCATCACGAACTTGAACGGCTTGTTCCTGTCGCGGGAGGAATCGAACTTCTTCCCGTCCTCCAGCATACCTGCGAGCGAGAAGAGGGAGACGCTGGGGACACGGGGAGCCAGGCTGGGAGCTGGCAGCCGCGGCAGCGACAGCCACCGAGAGAGCTCACATGGGCCTGAGTTAAGGAGCTCAGCTCCGAGCTCAGGATCCTTTTCCTTTGGGAAACACCTCCATGGGGCAGCCTGGAGGGGAAACCCCACCAGCAGCCATAGGGCATCCTGTGGGGCAGGGCAGGATTGCTCCCGGCCGCTCCTCTGGGCTGGGATTGAGCACAGATGAGGGGAGAAGATGGAAGAGGGGGGAAGATGCCTTCCTCCCCTTGCAGCACCACTGTGAGCCATTCAGCAGGCAGCAGGATCAGGCCCGGCACTTCCAATCCCACCAGCAAACACACCTCAGCCAGGCTTCCATCTTCAGGCACCCAAAGCACGAGCCAGGGCTCCGGGGCTCCATCCCAGCTGGCACCAGCCCTTCCCGTGTCCTGCTGATCCTCAGCCAAGTCACTCCCAAAGCCAGGAATGACAACAGGGAGAGGCAGCAGCAAGCGCTGCCCAGGACATCCCCCAGCACACGCTGCGTGGTGAGGGCTGATATCCCCAGGGCTAAATATAACTCCCCAGCACGAGCAAAGGAGGAATTTCCTCCCCTCCCTTGCTCCCTGCCTGACCTTCTTGGGGAATCTTGGAGCCGGAGCTGCCTTATAGGAGCAGAAACTCCCCTGGCCAGCAGAACTGCTGCTCCTATAAGGCAGCTACAGCTCCGCACTGACACAGTGCCCAGTGCAGCAAGAGCAATAGCAAACCCTCCTCCAAACGCTTCTCACTCCTTCACTTCCCAAAACAGCCCCCAAAACCTGTTTTCCTGGCTGGAAACCATTCTATAGTCTTGAACAACCAACCTCACCCAGCAGCACGCAGGGCACAGCGACTTCCCTTCACCATGGGCACGAGAAAACGCAGCTGTGCACAAGATGGGATGGGGCATCTCGACCCCGGCTCGCACCATGATGGCACAACGCCGCGGTGATGGGAGACGCTGGTGGGAAGGAGGGAATGGGGCAAACGCATCACCTTTGCAGGGCAACGAGCACCAGGAAGATGCAGCTCTCCTTGCTCCCAGAATTAAGCTTTTTGTGTCACAGAAAGCAAAACCTCCCCCATCCAGAGGCCTTCGAGCTGGACTTCGGGGAAGTGAACCCAGAGCTTCCTTGTTTCCTCCCACCGGGATAAACCTCTTGTGGCTGCGCCTGCTCCCAGCTCCTGGCACCGCTGCCGTGCCCTGGCTCTGCTCCTGCCCAGCGGGGCCGCTGGCAGCAGGAGCCGGGACAGGCCCCACTGCTGGCACCGGCAGCGCCGCTCGGCCACGGCCCCGGCTGACCCCGAGCTCAGCTCCGAGCCCTGGGGCACAGCAATGAGGCGGGCACAGCTCCTGCCTGCATCCTTCCCCTGAGCACCCATAGAGCTAAACCCCAGGGCTACACGCAGCCCAGCCCCACTGCTTGTCACAGCAAACAGGGGACGCGTGGGGGCAAATCCACCCTTGGGGAGCATCCTGCAGGGAGCTCCCTGGCTGCAGGAAAGGGGGATGCATGGGCTGAGCTGGCTGCAGCAGCACAGGGATATCCATCACTCGCTGTCCCCAGCCCAGGATGGCAAAGGTCACGCCGAGGAGCTTGTCCCTGCTGCCCAGCACGGGGCTGCTGCACTCCCCCATCGCACCAGCGAGGAAAACAAAGAGGCTCCGATGAGACAGCATCCTCAGCTCAGGTGCCTCCTCTGCCCGTGAGGCTCCTGGGAGATTTCTCCAGCCCTGGACAAGTATGAGCAACCATTTCCTCCTCCCTGCCATCCCCGGGTGAGGAGATAACAAGATCTTAGCGCTATTACAAAGCAAAGCATCCTCTGGCAAAGCAGCAGGAGCAGCAGAAAGCCCCTGGCACATCGCAGACCCTGGCAGGGCTCTTTGCTTGGCACCACCAGCCCCGTGAGAAGGGCAAAGCCCATGGCAATGGGTTACAGGGACCCACCAGCCCCAGCTCCCACCACTGGACCCCGTTGGAGACCTCAGCTGGACTGCACCACGCCAAGGGGGACCACGGAGCCCTGCAGACTGGGGCTCTGCAGAGCAGCCCCAGCTCAGCCACGCCGGCAGCGGGGCCCTGCCAGGTCTCTGCCACACTTGGCAGGCAGCAGCCGGGAGACGCTGCCTGCAACGCCCCAGCCTCCCCCCCCCCCAGCAGCGCTGTGGGGCACCGCATCCACTGCCCCGGCAGCCAGACCCACGGGGTGGGGGGGGTCAGGGCCGCTGCTTCCCACCCCGCATCCCACTGCCCACCCATCTGCTCCCAAACTCATGGGGGAATTTATCCTTGATTTAGCTTCTTTTAGAGCTGATTTCACATCAAAGGCCATTGCAGCAACCTCGAGCAGGGACTTGGGACCGAAGGAATGGGTTTGGTCCCCCTTCCACAATCCCAGCGTGAGCAATGCACTCAGAGGATGCTCTGCTCCCCTGTGCTGCCCTCCTGCATCAGGACTGTGTGTCCATCCCTCACCTCTGGGATGAAATGGCTGCTCCCGGATGGCTGACCAAACCAGCTCCCCACGCTCTTCATCCCTGCTCACTGCTTTTTAACCCCAAAACATGGTTTTTAAGGGCACATCCGTAACCCATCACAGCGGGAGCTGACTGGCTGTGCACCCCTCTCAGCACACCACGGGCTGGATCTCCCCAGTGCCTGCAGGTTTCTACATGGGAGCAAAGGGCAGCCGGGGATGGAGCTGACATTAGGCTCTGGAAGGAGCCTTGGAGAACAGCACCTGATGCTGCTCCGGGATCAGTGAGCACCGCAATGGGGCTGGAGAACCAGAGGCAGCTCTAACATTCCCTGAGATCCAAGCCCTGCTCTGGCCTCTCACAGGGCTGCAGGAGCCGCAGCGTTCAGCAACGCAAACGGCATCAGGGCCTGAAGGGGTTTGATCCCTGCTGCCTGCAGAGGGAACTGGGAGGGGGGGGGAAGGACAAAAGGAGACAATAACAGCAAACAACCGGAGGGAAGGAAGCCAGGAGCTGTTCCCACGCACGCACGGCAGCTCCGTGCTGCTGCCGGGGAGGCTCCGTGCGGAGGGAGCCACGGCACCGGGCTCTGCCCGAAGCACCGGGACGTGGGCACCCACCGTGAGCAGCTCTAGGTCAGGGCGGGGGGGGGGCACGGACCGAGCACGGCGAGAGGGGAGCGCTGGCGCTGGGAGCAGCGGGGCTGGCAGGCGGCAGCGCTGGCCCACCGGGAGCCACTTGAGTGCCTGCCAGGCTCCCTTTGTTCTTCCACCGGCGGAGGAAACGGGGCGGCCGGGGCAGACCCAGCCGCTTCCGCCGCTTCCTGACAGCGGGACGGGAAGGCCGGGGCGGCCATGGGCTGGGTGCCCACCGAGCACCCCTGGGTGCATGGGTCCTGCTCTGCAGAGATGGGCGCCCTCGGACCCCGCTGGGGGTGAGCAGAGGGTGGGAAGGGGAATGGGTTATGGCCAGAAACAGCCTTGAATCCATGGATGCGTTTTTACCCAGAGCACAGCAGCCACCCCCATCTGTTCAAAGGGGGAGCGAGGAGGAGAGGAAACCCCTGGGGTGACCCCCAAAGCGTTTTTGGGGGTCCCAAGGTTGGTTTCTTTCCCCTCAAGCTCGCTGAAGGCTGATGGAGGGCACTGTGTGGAGCGTGCCCCTCCCTGGCTCGCAGGGCTATACCCACAACCCAACCACCGCCCCGTGGTACCCACACCAGGGCTCCCCACGGCATGGGCATCCCCACACGCCCCAAACCCAGCCCCGGGCGCGCTGTGGGTCTCCGCCTGCCCCACAGGCACCCGGCTGTCACCCCACAAGGGAGAAGCGGCATCGAGGATGGCACTGGGGCTGCACCCCGATAAAAACGGGGACCCCACTCCAGAGCCCGAGGCTCCCGGGGGTTGCCACAGCGTGGGGGTCCCCGGCATCACCGCCCCATGGCCCGTAGAGCCCCGGGACCCACGGGGCACAGGCCCTGCCCGCCCCGTTTCCCTCCCGGGCCGCCTCCCGGTGCGCCCCAAAACCAGGGCCGGACACGGGTGGGAAGCGGCGGCGCCCACGGGGACCCCCGGGGCCTCGGCACGGCCCCAGGGCACAGCCAGGGCCCCCCCTCCCCGCCCGGGCCCCCCCAGACCCCGATCCCCCTCCTGCTCCCCCGGTAAAGCCCCGCTGGGGGGGGGGGGGCGCGGGACCCTCCCGGTTCCCCCGGGGAGCGCCGCGGCCCAACCGCGCCTCCCGCATGGGCCGGGCCCGGGGTCCCCGCAGCTGCCGGGGCTGAGGAGCGGGGCTCAGAGCCCGAACCCCCCCACCGCGTCCCGCGGGCACCGGACAGGGCCGGGGGTACCGGACCCCCCCCTCCCGTTCGCCGGTGCGGTCGGGGCCGCCCCGCCCTGCGGGGCCCTTGGCGGGCGGCACTCACCCGTGTAGTGAACCACGCAGGTCTGGCCGCGCTTGGGGAACGTCCGCCCTGCGGGGAGACACGCACGGTCAGCGCACCGGGACCGGGACCGGAGCGGCGGGGAAAGGGGGAAAGGAGAAGGGGGAAAGGGGGTGCATGGGGAGGGTGGGCGCGGATCGCGGCTCACCGTCGCCGGGGGCGATGGTCTCCACATGCACGCCCATGCCGGTGCCGGTGCCGCTCCCGCACCCTCAGCTCCCGCAGCCCGAGGGAGGAGGGGCCACGTGTGCGCAGCCTCGGCCCCGCGCCGCCATAGAGCCCGCCCCCGCCCGCCGCCATCTTCCCGCTCCCCCCCCGCCATCCCTCAGCCTCCTTCCTGCCCGGCCCCGGCCGCCATCTTGGCACCGCGCGGTTGCCGGGGCAACGCGGCCCTGCCGTGAGGGACCCCGGGACCACCGGGGTTACCGGTTAAAGCGGCTGCTCCCCCCCGTGAGGGTGCTGAGGCGCTGGCACAGGGTGCCCAGAGAAGCTGTGGCTGCCCCATCCCTGGCAGTGCTCAAGGCCAGGTTGGACACAGGGGCTTGGAGCAAGCTGCTCCAGTGGAAGGGGTCCCTGCCTGTGGCAGGGGTTGGAGCTGGAGGAGCTTTAAGGTCCCTTCAACCCAACCCATTCCATGGTTCCGTGGCCTTCCCAAGCTGTCCTGAACCACGGAAATCACCTCTTGACACGCTGCTATAGTCAGTGTGTGAAACAACGGCCGTGCATTGCATTAGTTCAGGTGTCAGCCTCAGGCTGCGCCAGGGAACGCTTGGACTGGATATGAGGAACGTTCTTGCCCCAAACTGGTGCTCAGGTGTTGGAACGGGCACTGGAACAGGCACTGGAATGGGGACTGGAATGGGCACTGGGAGAGGCACTGGAATGGACACTGGAACAGGCACTGCAATGGGCTTTAGAAGAGGCTGGAATGGGCACTGCAATGGGCACTGCAATGGGCTTTAGAAGAGGCTGGAACGGGCACTGGAACAGGCACTGGAATGGGGACTGGAATGGGCACTGGGAGAGGCACTGGAAGAGGCACTGGAAGGGGCACTGGAATGGACACTGGAAGGGGCACTGCAATGGGCTTTAGAAGAGGCACTGGAACGGGCACTGGAACGGGTACTGGAACAGGCACTGCAATGGGCTTTAGAAGAGGAACTGGAACGGGCACTGCAATGGGCTTTAGAAGAGGCTGGAACAGGCACTGCAATGGGCACTGCAATGGGCTTTAGAAGAGGCACTGGAACGGGCACTGGAACAGGCACTGCAATGGGCTTTAGAAGAGGCACTGGAACGGGCACTGGAACAGGCACTGCAATGGGCTTTAGAAGAGGAACTGGAACGGGCACTGCAATGGGCACTGCAATGGGCACTACAATGGGCATTAGAAGCACTGCAATGGGCACTACAATGGGCTGCCCAGGCAGTGCTGGCGTCACCGTCCCTGGAGGGATACAAAGGACGTGCGGATGTGCCCAGCGCCATGGGTCAGTGGCGCCCTTGGCAGCACTGGGTTAACAGTTTCACTCCATGAGCTTCAAGGTCTTTCCCAAGCTAAACCATTCCATGTTCTACATTGATGCTGCTCCTCAGCACGCAGGCAAAGGTCAGCACCGGCCCCATGGCCCCAGGCAGGCTCAGCGGGTCCAATCAACCCTCCAAAAGGACTCTCTGCTGGTGACAGCGGCAGCTCTTTTCTTCCCTGCTCCAGTAAAGACCTGCTCCAGGCACAGGATTTGTGCCTCAAAGCGTCCCATTTCCTCCCTTCAAGAGCTGAACTGCAGCACCCGCAAGGGAACAGAGACCTTCCAAGGACAGCCAAGAGGCTCATGAAAAGCTGCTGTAAAGTGGGGCACGAGGGGAGGAGACTTGAAATAGCACCTGAAGGGATGGAGTGGGTTTTAATGGCTTCTGCCCTTTGCTCGCATCTTTTAGATGCTGAAACACCAAGGGTGCCTTCCCTTGCTTGATGCTGGAGCATCACGCAGATGGGGCCCGTGGTCCCCAACTTTGCATGGAGCAGAGGAGGGCAATGGAGCTGGTGCAGGGCCTGGAGCACAAACGTGATGGGGAAGGGCTGAGGGACCTGGGAAGGTTTAATCTGGAGAAGAGAAGGCTCAGGGGGGACCTGATGGCTCCCTACAAGTGCCTGACAGGAGCATGGAGCCAGGAGGGGATGGGCTCTGCTCCCAAGGGATGGGACAAGAGGAAATGGCCTCAAGCTGCCCCAGGGCAGGTTTAGATGGAGCTGAGGAACAATTCCTGCCCCAGAGGTGCTCAGGCATTGGAACAGGCTGCCCAGGGCAGGGCTGCAGTCACCAGCCCCGGTGGTATTGAGACGTAGATGTGGCACTTGGGGCTATGGGTCAGTGGTGGCCTTGGCAGGGCTGGGTTAACAGTTGGACTGGAGGAGCGTAAAGGTCTTTTCCACCCCAGACAATCCCGTGGTTCTGTAATCTGTGCTCTCTGCAGGATTTTATACTCTCAACAATCAGAACGTTTCCTCAGTGCTCAGAGGCGTTTGCTTGCTTGTGAATCGAAGAGCGCCGAGGCTGAAAGCACGGCGGTGGCAGTGGGCAGAGCCTCCCAATGCCTCAGCATGGGCTGAGTCAGGCGATGCCACAGAGCACCCTGCGCCCACCAGAAACCAAGACAACAGCAGGAGGAAAAACAAGGGGGGAGAAACCAGTCCGGAGGCTCTCTGTGTGCCTGAGGAACGGCTCTGACCCGGAGCGGCTGCGGGGGCCCTGACGCGGCTCTAAAGCATCTCCCCCGCTGATCCAAAGTTGTGCTGCAGGGCCCGAGGCTTCCCGTGACCTCCGTGCAGGACTGGGGCTGCTTTGCTTGGGATGGTGGCGGTGGGCACGGGGCTGGGAGCCGCAGGGGCGGCCCACGGGCACCCACAGCCCCAGCCCTAAAAATAACCACGCTCCCGCTCCGCCTCGGCTCCCAGCTGACAGCTACGGGGTGGTGGATGCGCCTCTTCCCCCTGCTGCCTCCTCCCTGTTGCCAGGAGAGATGTGGGGGTGCCGAGCAGCGCTTGCGAGAGGCTGCAGGGGGAGATCAGCTCCGGGCTGCGATGTGAAACCAGCTTCAATCCCAGCCTGGTTTGGGTTGGAAGGGGCCTTAAAGCTCCTCCAGCTCCATGCAGGGACCCCTTCCACTGGAGCAGCTTGCTCCAAGCCCCTGTGTCCAACCTGGCCTTGAACACTGCCAGGGATGGGGCAGCCACAGCTTCTCTGGGCACCCTGTGCCAGCGCCTCAGCACCCTCACAGGGAAGAGCTTCTGCCTCAGAGCTCAGCTCAGTCTCCCCTCTGGCAGGTTCAAGCCATTCCCCTTGGCCTGCCCCACATGAATGACGTTCATTTGACACTTGTGCCATAAGCTCCCAAGCTGCAGAAAGCAGGAGAAGCTGCCACAATCCTGCCCAGCTGCATGACCGGGGCAGTGCAGCCCATTCCTGCTGGGAAGCTCATGCTTTAAACCACTGCTGGCTTGAGTTTCACCCTTGGACAAAGAAATTCTCCCCGTTTCCCTATGAAAGGGCAGCCTAAGCACAAGGGTCGTGCTGCATTGGCTGTATTTTCCCTAAAATCTGGTCAAAAAGAGCTTCCTTTTGCAAACAACCGCAGTGCTCTTGGTGTGTGCTTTCCACAGCTGAAGTGACACCTCTGCCCCCCCAGTGCCCTTCCTGCTGGCACTGCAGCCTGTCCCGGGAGGTGACCATGGATCTGCCTTGCCCAGGTCTGCCAGGACCTGCCGAAAGAGCAGCGAGGCCAAGCCCTGGAGCAAGCAGCCCCAGTGAGGTGTCAGAGCTCGCTGTATGTGTGCAGCGGGACAGGAAGGGGGGCAGGATGCAGAGCAGGCCTTTGGGACAGGGAACAGGAAACAACAGGAAGCGATGGCTTTCCCTGAGAGCAGCACATCCTGAGAGCGCAGCAGCTCCGCGTCCGTCCCGGTGAGCTCACCCGCTGCCAGCCAGGGCTTATTTGGGTTGTACCTGGTGTCTGTGAACAGCAGCACACATGAAAGCTGGTCTGAGCCTCCAGAGGAACCCCAAAACCCATTGGGAAGTGCACCCCTTGAGGGGATCGTAGCTCAGACATGGGGAGCTGCACTCCCCCATAAAACATTGCATGTTGGGCTAGGACCAAGGCTTCCGGGAGCTCAAATTTACCCCATTGCCTCCATCTCCATTCTCATCTCCTTCCTCCTCTCCTCACCAATGGGATGGAGGCAGAAGACGAATATGGCAATGAGCAGCAGGCTTATTGGGACTGGAGCCATGAGAAGCTGCAGGGTGAGGACCACAGAGGGGTTGGATGTGCAGTCTCCAGCATGGTAACCTGCAAAACTAAAGAGGAGAATGGTTTTCCTTCCCCCAGCCCCATCAGGCCATCACAGAGGGCAAGCAGGCACTTCTGCTGCTCTCCTCTAGAGCCTGGTCTTGGGGGCTCAGGTTTTGGGGGGGTTCTGCTTTTCTTGCTCCCAACAGATGTTGGAAAGACAAATTTGGATTCTCCTGTGGCTGATTCCAGCACCTCCTCTCAACACTCTAGAGAGCAGCAGTGGAAGCTGCCTGTGCTGGGCTGACAGAGGGAGGTGGTGCTCATGGGGGACTTACTGTAAGCTCAGTGTGGATATCCCCACGGCAAGGCCCCCGGCAAGCTTGTTGAAGAAGACATAAAAGGAGTAGAAGAGAGCCTCCAGGTTGAGGCAGCCGGGGTTCCTCAGCATGAAGTCATCTACTGCATCCGGCAGCATGGACCTGGGGGGACACAGCCCCAGGGACATGTCAGTGGCACCCACCCAGCTGAACACAGACGTAGCTGCTCCCAGCAGCAGAGAGAGACAGAATGCTTCAGAAAAAGAGAATTAAAAGAGTGCCCTGCGCATGCTGCTGCCAAACCTGAGCACAGACTGAAAGATGCTGCTGGGGGACCATGGATCCCATCCGTGTCCCTTCCCAGTCCCATCTCCACACGTCCCTCAAAAGCTGCTGCACCGAGCAAACAGGCAGCCTTGGCACATCGAGGGTGCTGATCTCCCTAAATCCTTCCCCTCTGCTCTGCCTGGCAGGAGGCTCGGAGGTGCCTGCACTCACCATGGCAAAAGGTAGAGCACAGCCATGCTGCAGCCTGCCACCATCACCGGGAAGATGAAGGCCGGGAAGTTGTGCATCACTTGGGTGACAGCTACCAGGGCTGGGATGATGAGCTGTGCAGAGGGGGAAAGGGAAGACCAAAGCACATGGACCCTTCCTGCTGCTCACAGCAGCCTGCACCCATCTGCCCAGGCAGAGCCATGACCAGACACCATAGCCAGACGTGGCTCTGCTCCCAGACACCATGGTTAGCTGGGGACAAGGCTGTCCCCTCCCAGGGCTTCTCAATCCAAGGCCGTGGGCAAACTCACTGCCAGGCCCAGGGAGGCTGCTGTTTTCTTTCCAAATCTCCCCAAAAACCATTGCCAGAAGGGAATGGAGAGGGAAGCTGTGACCTGAGGAGAGAACCAGAGGGGAGGCTCAGCAATGGGTGATGTCCTTGCTGGTGGACAGAAACAGCAGCACATCACTCCAGGAGGCTGAGGTGACCCAGGGCTCAGCCCCTCCATCAGAAAGGTCTGCCTGGGCTCACTTACCAACATGATAAGCACTAAATGCTGGAACTTCCCGGCCAGCCCCGCAGCGTGGGTACAGAAGAAGGCAAAGATCCCTTGTGTGGTCTGGGAAAGCAACATGGGGATGTTCATGGCTGGGGTCCTCAGTTCGCTGTCTGGATAAACTCGCCTGGACACCTCATTCCCCACATTCTCTTCCTACCGTGGCAGCAGGTCTCTCACCTGGAAAGCCAGGGATGCGAAGAGGAAGGCACAGAGCAGCTGGGTGTAGGGCTTGTGTCCCACCATCATCCTCAGGCAGCTGGCAAAGGGCAGCTCAACCTTCCCCAGGGGCCTGAGGGGCCCTGAGAGGAGACAGCACTGGAGAAGAACCACAGCACAGGGGGGCACGGGGGGGGGTGCACCGCTGTGTCTGGGGTGCAGCTCCACTGCCTCAGTACAGACACAACAGCATCCAAGTAGCTGTTGTGTTTCTGAGCCCTGCACCCACAGGTGCCCACCTCCCGCTGCCTCACACTTTCCTCTGCAGCCCCATCCTCACCATCATCCAGCTGCCGCTGGGCACTCTCCAGACTGCATCTAAATGGACCTTACCTGGCTGCTCCTTGACACCGAAGATGAGAACCAGACAGGAAAGGCAATAGACTGAGCCCAGGACCAGGGATGCAAATAAATAGGCTCTACGCTGGAAAATGAGAGACAGTGCGCAGTGACAGTCAGACTGGTTTGTGCTGAAGGGACCTTAAAGCTCCTCCAGCTCCAACCCCTGCCACGGGCAGGGACCCCTTCCACTGGAGCAGCTTGCTCCAAGCCCCTGTGTCCAACCTGGCCTTGAGCACTGCCAGGGATGGGTACGGTGTGGAGCAGAAGGGTGGCTGTGCCAAGCCAGCCCGTACCGTGTTGTCCAGGGAGCCGGTGAGGCCGGAGGTGCTGGTGTTGGACACGGTCTCATTCGACATGGAACAGCCGTTCATGCGGGCATGGTAACTGCCCACCATCTGCCCCTGGATTCCTGACCCGAGCAGTGTGCTGAACACCTCCATCCCCATTCCTGCCAGGACAGCCAGAGAGAAACCTCAGCCCACTCCCTGGCTGCTGGGACACAGCCCTAAGGTAAAGGACTGGCTTTGGGAACAGAACCAGAGGCACCACCATCCAGAGCTTCCCCAGAAGCAGAGACCTGCTGTTTCTACCTGCTCTTTTTTCCCCCCCCTTTGCTCCAGCAGTCAGTGCTTTAATGTTTGGAACCAATAAATCTGTCTCCTGACTCCCTCGGGGATGATACAGAGCTAAGAAATGCTTGTGCAGCTAAATTCTCAGCAGAAGATGACTGGTTTCATCCCTGGTTTCACCTCCTGGTTTACCCCAGCCAGTCTGCAGCCTGTTCCAAGCCAAAGGACCTCATTCCTCCCTCCTCCAGGGAGGTTCTCCCAGGAATGCAGGCAGACAGGGGCTCAGGGCACAGACACTTACTGTAGGCAGTGGCTGAGTCACGGTCTCCCTGGGTTCCTCCCAGGAACATTGTGAGGGAAGAGTACGGCACATGGTAGCACTGGGGAGAGCAGAGTTCAGACACAGCCGCAGCTGCTGCTTCCCTGGTTTGCTGCTCATCACCCCCCTCATCCCTACACACAGCAGATGATGCTGCCTTCAGTGGCACCCTCTTCTGTGATACGCTCTGTTCCCACAAAGCAGTGATGGAGAAGATCACATCACCATGCCCAGGCAGCCCAACTGCAACCCCAGCATTCAAATGCACCCACTGCTCCATCTCCCCATCCCTGCTGGCATGGTCTGCACCATCCTGCTTCCCCCATCTACTGCTCTCCTCTGGGTCCTTCCTGGGACCCCCCCATCCGAGCGTGGTCCCATCCCCTGCAGTACAGGCTGTTGTGTGAGACAGCCTGCCCCAGGCACCATGTTCCTTACAGTCATGCAGGTCTGGAAGAAGCTGTACATGAACAGGTACCACAGGAATTTCAGGGTGGCGGGGGTGGCATCCGGGAGGCTGGACCACATCATGCAGTAGCAGAGCACCCCGAAGGGCATGGAGCACGCGATCCTGTGGAGGCACGGAGCTGCTCACATGGGACCCTCACACACGGTGGTCTCACTTCTCCTTGCACAAGCTGAGCTACGTAGCACAGCCTCTTCCCCAGCTTCCGAACCAGAGCCCAGCTGCTGTGAGATCAGGGTATGTGAGAGGAGGCAGCTCTGCTCAGGTGAGTGCCCATCGCAGTGAAAAAGTAATGCTCCAACATTTCTTCTTCTCTTCCTTAACCACTTCAAGCCCTTGCCCTGCAGCAGAACTGGGGGGGGCAGCAGGAACCCTCCATGTGGAAGATCTGCCTGTGGTTAGAGCTGCTGGCACAGCAAACTGCCACACTCTATGTGCCACCACACAGGGCTCTCAGAGCACCAAAGCCTTGAGAACATGAGGTCCCGGAGTGACAGCAAGCAGACAGGTTTGCAGTACATCCCTCCTGTTTCACTGCAATGACGTATGGACCCCACTGCGAGTTGTGTCATCTTTTGTGTCCTTGCAACGTTAAGGTTTGGAATTCTCCAGAAGCCACAATCACACTGAACTCCCAGTGAAGCATCCCAGTGCCTCCTGGTGCTAGTACTCAATAAGCCCAGCAAAGACCCTCCAGAAGCTCCAGCCCCGACACCCACCATGGCACCAGCTTGCCGTATTTTGTCCTCGGGCTCTTGCTGACCAGGAAGCCAATAGCTGGGTCAGTAACTGCATCCCAGGCTCTTCCAAGGAAAAGGATCAAAGAGGCATGGAACGGCTCCAGCTGAAGGGGAAACAGAAACCACAGCACGAAAGGGAAGGAAGTCCTGCTGAAAAGCTGTGAGCAGTGAGCCCGAGGCAGCTCCCTCGAGCCAAGGTTTCATCTGCATCCCCTGGAGACCACTCCAGGCACTGAAGTGGCCCAGAAACATCTCCTGCACCCCCACCAGTATTTGCATGATGAGATTTTGATGCAGTTTGAACAGCTAATTCTAATGAGCATTTCCAAGGGGTTTAGCCACCCACCAAACCCTGCCCTTGCCCCATTGTGCTGAGCTTATGCTAAACCCCTTTTGCAGATAACCCTGTCTCAAGTGGCCACTCACCTGCACGACATCCAGCAGGAAGATCTGGAGGAAAAACCCCAGGGCATTGCCCGTCATCTGGTAGGGAATGCCCCCAACAGCGTAGCAAACCTTCCTGCAGAGCGGCAGCCCCGGCTCCTCCTGCAGCCAGAGGGAACAAGCCCACCTAAGAAGCAATGCACACCTCGGGCTGACAGCAAGCCCCCAGCTTACCCCACCCTCAGGGCTCTCCGAGGCCCATTTAACCCCCAGTTGACACCCACAAGCAGGGTGCTGTGATGTGCTTCCCTGTCTGCTGGTGACCTTAGTGCATCAGGCCGTGGTGTTTCCTACCCGCGACCTCGCTCCTGGGGTCCTGCTCAATGCATTTGCTGTTCTTCATAAGCCTTCAAGGGTATGAGCTCGAGGGGTTACGAGCATGCTGCCAGCCTCTATGGGGCAAGCTGGTCTAGGGGAAGGTGTCCCTGCTTCCACACAAGCTGAGACTGGATGGATCAGCTGCTCCCTCTGAGGTCTCATCCTACAGTAGCCTCCTGTTCCTGTGCAACACAGAGGTGCATCACTGCTGACAGCAAGATGGCTTTGGGGTGGGAGGAAGACAGGGCTGCAGGTAGCCTCTGGGAACTTGCCAGCTCCTTGAGGCTTGGTTGGGTATTTACTGCAGGTAAGCACATCCAAATTAAACAGAGGCTTTGCCATCAGCCCTCTTCTCTTCCTGCGTGCTGAAATGTTCCTTGTGCCTTCCCCGTTATCTATAGAAATCCCTGGGCGCTGGCCTTTGCAGCCTCTCCTCCGACTGCCCCCGTTACAGTTGCTTGAAGTCTGATGCAGTTTGGACTTTTTAATGTGACAGAAATAGAAGCACTGGACGGAGGCTGGACAGAATAAGGACAGACAGTGTTGGACCAGCTCAGCAGAGAGCACCGCAGCTGGCATTACATATGGATCTCGTTTGTTAGCAGCCTGTGATGACAGAATCCCAGCCTGGTTTGCATTGAAGGGACCTTAAAGCTCCTCCAGCTCCAACTCCTGCCATGGGCAGGGACCCCTTCCACGGCAGCAGCTTGCTCCAAGCCCCTGTGTCCAACCTGGCCTTGAGCACTGCCAGGGATGGGGCAGCCACAGCTTCTCTGGGCACCCTGCCTGTTTGGCTGTGCCACCAAGAGAGAGCTCCAAGAGCCACCCTTGAGGGGTGACAGACCTTCATTGTGGTGCTTAGGGAACAGCTTCTGAAAGGACAGGCTCAATCCCCCGAAAAGCAGCATTCCAGAAGGCTCTGAGTGCATTTCCCTCACGTAACCATTAGCAATAACTCCTCCGCAGCCCATGGATAAAGCACTGACGCTGCTGTGCCCACCAGGCCCAATGTCCCCAGCACACCCAGGGAGCAGAGCTCCTGCTTCCCCTGTGCTGGGTAACCTCAGCCTGCTCGAGCCTCCCAACTCCTGCCTCCGCTTTCCTCCCTGCCCTTTCCAGCACAGGTCCCCCCTGCGCTCCAAATTGCAGAGCAGCCCGGTCCCGCGGGGCTGGCAGGAGCCTTGGGCTCTCAGCACCACCGCGCAGCGTTGACTCATCCCCCAAGAGCTCGTTTCCACAGCAATGCTGCTTCTAAAATTACAAAAGCCCTTCCTGTGGGCTCGAAGGTTTTGAGGGCAGCTCTGGGTGCCGTGCTGCTCGCAGCAGGTAGGATGGAGCCGGGCACGGCTCTGCCCATCCCGCCTGGGAGGCAGCAACAACAGAACGGGGAGCTCTGCTCCAACAATGGCATCTGGAGCCTGAGTCAGAAACACTTGACAACACCCACAGCCCGCGGCTGCTGCGCCAGGCGGGCTCGGCGTGGGTGTGAGCACGTGTGCCAGCGCTGCTGCATGTGAGGAGCCAGCACCCTGGACACTGAGCTTAGAATCAGAATGGGTTGGGGTGGAAGGGACCTTAAAGCTCCTCCAGCTCCAACCCCTGCCACGGGCAGGGACCCCTTCCACTGGAGCAGCTTGCTCCAAGCCCCTGTGTCCAACCTGGCCTTGAACACTGCCAGGGATGGGGCAGCCACAGCTTCTCTGGGCACCCTGTGCCAGCGCCTCAGCACCCTCACAGGGAAGAGCTTCTGCCTTATCTCCAACCTGAACTCCCCCTGTTTGTCTGAACCCATCACCCCTTGTCCTATCGCTACAGGCCCTGATGAAGAGCCCCTCTCCAGCATCCTTGCAGCCCCCTCCAGACACTGCTCTGAGGTCTCCACGCAGCTTCCAGCCCCAGCACTCTCAGCCTGTCATGACTTTTATCCTAAGGGCTTCTACAGATGTCTTACCTCCCTGCAGACCTCTCCGCTCTGTTGGAGAGCTCCTCCTTGGCTGGACCTGTGCATCTCAGCATCTTCGGGACCAGCTGGAAGCATGACTGCAGGGATGAGTGCCCTGCAGTGACATGCGCCAGGGATGCGGAAACTTCCTGGCCCAGGGAAAGGAAGTACTGGCCTCGGACGTCAAAGAGCACATAGGCACAGAGTGGAGCTGGATAGAGACCTGACAAGTGAAACACATCATCTGCAGGGCCCCACGGGAAGCTGGTGAAGGGGAAGTGAGCGGCCTTGAAGGAGGAGCATGGCCAGAGCCTGCCCATGGGCACAGGAAGCCTGGCAGGGCTCACAGGGGACCATGTACTCGGCTCTCAGGAGCTGTGCCAGCGCCTCAGCACCCTCACAGGGAAGAGCTTCTGCCTAAGAGCTCAGCTCAGTCTCCCCTCGGGCAGGTTCAAGCCATTCCCCTTGGCCTGTCCCTACATCCCTTGTCCCAAGCCCCTCTCCAGCTTTCCTGCAGCCCCTTCAGGCACTGGAGCTGCTCTCAGGTCTCCCCTTCAGGAGCCTTCTCTTGTCCAGGCTGACCCAGCCCAGCTCTCTCAGCCTGGCTCCAGAGCAGAGCTGCTCCTGTCCTCTTTCCTTTCTCTATTAAGCAAGACCTGCAGTTATCAACCTCTTTCAGCCTGCGATCTCCTGAGCGCTCCCCCATGACAATGCAGACCCCCCACAAAAACGTGCTTTTCTCTGTCCCCCTTCACAGCCCCAGAGCCCAGCATCTCGGCATCACAAACCCAAACCTCCCCTGCATTAAGAGCAGCTCCTGGGAGCAGCTGAGTTCCCAAGGCTCTGGTGCTCCCCACACACAGCACATCACCACAGAGGCAGAGCCAGGGCAGAGCAACCCAGGCAAAGCCCCCTCCCTGCTCTCCCCCACATTACCAAGAGCCACTGGGAGGGTTAAATCCACGTTGGTGTCCCTGTATCACCACCCATAAGGGAACTCAAGCACCTGTCTCCAGGGCTCATCCCCATGCTGTTAGGTTGTCTTCAGCTCAGCCTGACCCAGTGGGGGTTAATCTCAAACCCCTCAGTCTCCCAGGCTGAGTCAGAACTCGGTTCCTAAGCCCCAGCAGGACTGAGTCAGCGGCATCTCTCCTCACTGCTGTTCTGCTGACATCCCAGATAACAAATATCACTCACGCTGGACCACAGCCAGCGCAGGGGCAGCCAAATCCCTGTCTCCCACCGGCGTATCTAAGCATATATCTCTATCAGAAAGCACACCACCTCTCTCCCCACCCCAGAGGAAAGGGAAAAAAGAGGAAACAGAAAAACCTGATTTTTAGTTTTTTTTTTTCCTAGGCCGTTCTGTAACGTGGGTGGTTGGGTACCCCTGGAGATGGTACTCAGCAGTTAATCCTCTGCTTGGCATTCTTTACTCTCCAGGTGCTCATAGGTGCAGGAAGCCAAGAGAGGCCCCTCCGTTGCCCCCCAGAGCAGCTCTGCAGCCCTCACTCCCTGCCTACCGCAGCGCTCAATTCTCCTCCTCACAGGGAAGCTCCATTCCTGCTCGCGTTGAAAAACCAAACCCCACCAAAAAACCAAGTCTGAAGCCAGCAAATGGGACTTTCTGGCACGGGAGCAAGCGGCAGCAGTTGGATACCTTCCACTGGCAAACCCTTTACCACCACTCTTTGCTCCAGCAGTTCTCGTGTTCCCCTGAGCACAGCTGCTTCTGCTGGGTGGAACGGGAGCCACGGCCTCAAGAGCCACCAAGGTGGATGCGGCAGAAGAGCTGCTGCTGCTGGAGGCCCCATAAGCCAACGAAGAGTGAATGACATGAGGATCACAAGATGTACCTGAGTAAATAGGAACATCTGTAATCCCTTCAGGACCTGCCAGCACTGGGACGGACAGGAGCAGTGCAGGCAAGACACCCCAGAGATAAGCATTTAGGAATGGAGTAAAGTCAGAAAATGATGACTTGATAAATCAAGAGGTGCTTGACACAGGAGCTGTTTGGCTGCCAGTGCTCTGAGCCTGCTGCAGCATTAGTGCTACCCTGCTCTCCATAGAAGCATGCAATTGGGAAACGTGGGGCTCGTTTGGAAGAGCTGCTGACAGGTAAGAACTAGAGGGGATTTCTCTTCCCGTTGTGTGGAACTCGGTGGGATCCCCATGGAGCTCCAGCCCTGCAGCTCACCTGGTCAGCAGCAGCAATACGCACCTTTGGTTCAGACATCGTGTGCTCGTGTCCTTCCCCCATTGGCCACAATTCATGGTCCCATCCTCCTGCAGCTGCAGGTGCCCTGAGATTCCTTGCTCCCCATCACCTCCGGTCGCTTCCTCCCGTTATCTGTAGCTGAGCTTCCCGAGCTCTGTGCCAGAACATGGCAACCAGCTTTGTGCTTTGTGCTGTCCACATTGTTTGACCTCAGTGGGCAGCTCAGGCACGGCTACACCTGGAAGTGGATGTTCCTCCACCAGCATCACTGACCATGCATGGAAGAGGGACCAGGAAACACCCCATGGCAAAGGCAGCACCCCAGAGGGGAGGTGAAGTACCCAGGCAATGATGCAGAACGCTATCAGAAAAACCAGGAACTCAACCTTAGCAGCCAGGATGTGGGAAAAGAAGAAAACACCAAAGTGCCCCAAAAGGGAAAGAATCCAAGGAAGTTCTGCAATCCCCATCTGAGGAAGAGGAAATGGGTGAAACCGGAGGAAAGCCCTGGGATGGAGTGGACGCATCAGCCCCAGGCAGGACAGCACCCGGTGAAAGTGGCTCTATCTCAACATGCAGATGTTGAACAGGAGCGAGGTTCCACACGAGAGGTGGAGCGCTGCTGAGCGCCAGCTGTGAGAGGCAGGAAGCTGGGGAGGGAGGGAGGGAGGGATCAGAGGGAAAGGAACGTCTCAAAGTGAAACCCTTCACCAGGCAGGGCAGGGAAACGACACCTTGTTGTGAGCATAAAGGCCGGTTTTAGAAGAGCCCAACCTGAGCCTGTGACTCTGCTAGAACAAAGAAAAGGGATGACAAAGGGAAGAGCTTTTACTTGCAAGTCAGGAACTCCCCAACCACCACCACAGACTGCAGGAGTGTCAGAAATGAGCATTTACCTTCCTGCAGGGACACGTCAAACACCAAAGAGCTGCACGAGTGATGAGGAAGGGGATGCTCTTCGCAGAACCAAGGTGTCTCCCCAGCCCTTCTCCCTGCTCTGGTGTGTTATCCCAACCCTGTCCATTTGCCTGTCATTTTTGCTTTAAGGCTTATTTCAGGGTGACACATTCCTGCAGCTCACAGAAGGAGACAGTTTAATACAGGAGGTTGCATGTATGTTGCTTCCAGTTCGTTCCACAGCCTCTTTTGTGGAAGATGTGCCTTATCTTGTTCCAGACACCGCTTCAGTGCTCCACTCGGGAACGCTCCCGGGAGCCCAGCTGAGCTGATCCTGTGCACCAGGAGATAAGGACTGCTCATTACTGACAAACATAAAGCCCAAGCAGAGGCTCAGAGGAAGGAGGAGGCGGCAGCGGTGTCACAGAGGGCTCAGACACACAGAGAGAGCAGCACAAGGGGCAGGAGCTCCCAGCTCCTCCGCAGGAGCCTGCAAGGCGCAGAGCGGTGTCTCTGCAGCACTGCCACCCGCCGGCTCGGGAGGAAACGCGACTTTCCTGGCACACAAACGTCTTGAGGCCCAGAGCAACCCGGAATTGATCACCCCGGTGCCGAGGAGAGAGCTGGCAGGAAACCTGGATGTGGAAGTTGCCATCGGTGAGCGGAATCTGCACAACAAACCCCTTGGGGTCGGCAGCTGGAGGAGCTGCTGTCTGGCTACCAGCCCTCGTTTCACTTGCAGGGACCACAAGGACCATGGATGGCAGCTGGTTGTCACCTCAGCCCTCTGATGGCACTGGCTAACCAAGGCAGAAGAGGACACAGATGAAGTCTCTATCTGGGTTCAGGAGCAGATCCTGTCCAGCAGTCTGGAAGAGGTTATCCCAGGTCCCTAAAACGGCACAAGATACAAGAGCAAGGCCAGGTTGGAGGGGGCTGCTCCAGTGGAAGGTGTCCCTGTCCGTGGCAGGGGTTGGAACCAGATGAGCTTAAGGTCCCTTCCAACCCAACCCAGTCTGGGATTCTATGAACACCTCCAAAGAATGACTCCAATGAGTGACTTCCCACAGGGCAGTTACCGAGCTCCAGGGTAAATCCCCTTTCTGAGCTCTTTGTACAGGTTCACACCGATTACCAAGTGGGCACAAAGCACCAAGTGCTGCAGAAAAACACCTTCAAGCCACTGCTGAGACTCTGAATCTCACCGAGCTGCAGAGGGCTGAAGGGAAGCCAGAGCAGGCACTGCATGCACACCGTCCCAGCCACGAGAACCAGCCACAGAAAGGCTCAAACGCTGCTTTCCTCTTTTGTGGGCTTTTAATGGCAATTTTCACAACAGCTTACAAACTCCTTGTTACTCACATTATGGCTCCAATTAGGAATGAACAGGGAATGGAATTCAGCTCTCAATGGAGGAACTGGTGGTAAAACTGCCCTTTGCTGAGGTCTGGAATCTCCTCCCGCGTTGTGCATTAATACAGGCGGCCAAGCGAGTTCCTCACGCTGAACCTGCCTGACCTGCTGCACCGACCTGCTGCCCTGCCCCAGCCTGCACCTCCCGGCCCTACCGCTTGTCCTCTGTGCCCACGAGGGGGCCTAGGAGCTTCGGAGCACTGAGGGGTTGGACTCACAGTGCAGGGCTCCAGCTGGGATGCTCCAGCCCTGGGCATGGCAGTGGTGCAGCCTCTGCGGATGGGATGGTGCTGGATCAGTTCCCACTCGGCTGATGTCTGGAGGCCCACGGTTCCACACAGCTCTCCAGTTCTGCTCCGAGGGCAGCACTAGGGCAGCGAGCACGTTGTGGGCTGGTGCAAAGTGCCCTGGCACAAGGCTATAGATGGTAACTTGTACGTGCGACTACTACCAGGCCCTTACATCAAGGCATTAAAGAAAGCACCCGGAGGATTCTGTTCAAAGGAGAGAAAGATGCAGAGACCCGAGTCCAAAACACAACCAGCACAACAGAGCAAAGCTGGAGAATTCCAGCTGTGCAGCTACGCTAGCCCTCAGCAGAGGAAATAAAGGGTCCTACAGGCTTGAGTTTCCCCACCTGAGCTGTTTCC